TTCCACGGAGTGGGAGAATCCTGCATATTTGATAGCGATTAAGCAGTCAGTGTTATGGACACTTAATATATATATATATATATATATATATATATATGCAATTGCATGATTTCAAATTCGTGAGTTGCATTAAATTCCGGCGTAATCCGCTGAAGTGATGTGTTGATCTTCACATTGCTGCCTGAAAAAAAAATCAAAGAAATATTAGGCTTGACCATATATCGATAGTATGTGTTTGAGTGCAACCCCTCTGCTAAGGCCACACTGAGCACTGAAGATGATCAACAATACGCTGCGAGTTTACCGTTCGATCACTTCAACTTTATCTACCAATGCCAAGCAATACGATCGATTCCGACGAATCTTAACACTCAACACTGCATCAGCAGGGTATATTACTACACAATACGATACACAACTGCATTGCATGATGTAGGCACAATATTAGCTCATCCACTACTCTCGTGTGAAGAATGGTGCCCGCCTCTTTAATGACCTTCAACAAGAAGGTAACAACAATTAGCTGGTAGTAGGCATGCTTTCTCAGCTGCAGAAATATTTGATCCTTTTTTTTTTAATGAAGCGAGCACATACCTGAACGTCGCAGTTGCCGTTCTCGTTGGAACACTCGCTGCTCAACTTGCTTGATGGCTGCAGCCCGTGCTCCAGCCAACTCAGCAGCGTGCTTTATGTCGTTGTTTACAGGTTGAACATGCACCGCGTTATGTACGACGCACGGTCTTCTGACGACGTAAACGTGATGTTGTTCCCTTGTCTTGATATGAATTCGCCGCTGCCGCGACTTGATTGTTGTTTTTGCATGCAGGTTGGGCTTTTGCAAGTAGCTCAATAATACCATTGCTAATCTGAGCAAGAGCCGTCAAAACCGCAGATTCTACTTGAGGTGTAGCACTTGCCAAGATATCAACGTGATTGTCTTTGGATGATTTTTTATCATCTGCGGTGCTTTGAGAGTGACGATCTCTGCTGATTCGGGAGATGATGTCGAGTTGGAAAACACAGCAGCACTATCGACGACCGCTTCAGGTTTTGGCGAAGTTTTTTTTAAGGATACTTCACTGTTCCTTGTGCAGGTGGGGCAACACTGTCTTGAGCTGTACAACGATTTTTCCAGCGTTGACGTACGTGGGTCTTGAATATTCTTCTTTGCATATGTAAGTTGCTCAACGAGTTTTGCAATTTGAATATTACTATCTTGAGCAGCTTCCTTCAGGTCTCGGAGTTCTTGCTCTAGTTTGTTCAACTTCACGGTTGTATCGTCTTGTGATATTTGGAGATGGTTGTAAAGTTTCTCTTCTAATGCTGAAGCGTTAGACGTAATTGCAGCATTGCGTTGGGCTTGCAAAACACGATCCTCCATTTGGTTATTATTCTCCAGAGCAGCTATCGTCAGGTCACTAAGTTCGTGTTTTAGCATGTGCAGTTTCAAGGTTGTAGCCTCTTGTGATCCCTCTAGCCGGGCTTGAAACTTTTCTTCTAATGCTGAGCTGTTGAACGTAATT